GCACTTTCACATGTGATTATTGGGGAGTCATGAAGGGCTACTGGACATTCAATGCAGCCAATACACGTTTGCATGCAGAATTCATTGCATGATAAAGAAGTGTATAAAATTATCCAGAATCATCACTCGGACTAGGACTCAAATGAAGTCAGAGCACTTTGCAAATGCTTTGTGATCTTCAGCATTTTCCAAATAGAATGCTTCCTACCCATAATCAAAAGCCTACATATCTATAAAGCCCACCCCACAGAGCTAATTTATAAAAAAGTTATTCATAAATACTGATTTGTGAATATGTGGTAGGAAACGTCAATATGGCTGGTACACTATGACTACAGAGTATTTACAACTGTAAAGATGAAAGTGCAGTATTTAACAGGGAAAAGTCTTTATATCTAACAGCGATTTTTGGTATAACGTTGCAACACAACTAGAAAATGATAAGCACAAAGAAAGTGGAAAACATGTCACCTATCACCATGATAAAAGAAAGACAGCCTACCATTTGGCTGCCATGCCATTAAGAAGTCAAAGGTCAGATCTAGTCTCTCCTTGAAACACCACTGCACCCTTTCATAGCTCCTCTTGCCCTTGCAAAAGCTTTCTCCAACAAGATTCACCTCAACACCTTTGGAAAGGGAAAAACTGAAGGTACTGACGACTGGCCAAAATAATATACATAAATCTGAATAGAACGTGAAAGATCTACATGTGCAGGTACAGCTTGATCACTTTCTTGTAGTGCGTTGATGCAAGACACTACTGCCTTGTATGAGTACCTAGATTTCAAGTGCACATTTGCTATTTGAATGTGTTATTCTTGTGAAATAATGTGTCTTCATATCTAAGTTCCCCATTTGCTGAACACATAAAGCAAAGTGCTCATTAGCAGACGACAGTGCAAATTGATAATGACCATAATTACAAACTCTTTTGCCAAATTATGCAACAGTTTTTTCATGTACGCATAAACCGTGGAGGTCTGACACTTCAAACCAAATTTTAATTGAATCTACTATTAAAAAGCTGACAATTTAAAATGTCCTTCCTACAATGGAGGAAGGGACGGAGAGAGGGCTCAATTGGCCAGGATTATGTGATTTTGCTGGTTTCTCTCTTACACATATTATCAGAAGCCAAAATGAATTTTTGCTTGATCGAATTTGTCTGACCAGACCAGGCCAACGGTTGACAATTTTCTTCTAAACAGTGCATGCAATGCAAGAGCAAGTCCACGTAAATGTATTTCACTTACAGTATTTTGTAACCTTCCTGGGTTTTTCAAACTGTGAGGGTTTTCCTTCCAACCCCAATTCCTGGTAGGTATCTTTATTGACAGAAAGTACAAGCCTACCTGAGAAAAAGAATCAGCGATACACAATCACAAAAGTGACTTTTACAACTGTTTAGATGTATTCATGTATAGAAATTGTCACTTATTTGCAGCACACTTCATATCAATCACTACTTTGTCATGATCTGACAGGCCAAACATTAGGCATGTTCCTAAATGGCCTCATTTTTACAACTTGTCATTGAGGTGTTTGACAGCAAAATGAACTGATTGGATGTGGACCACACATCTGGACTGTAAAAGATTCTGTTGGGTCTAATTGTGGCAGCAATATTACATGCCCACAGTCCGCATGCTGCTTTGTGAGTGTAAATACACATAGCACTGCATATGCAGGACTTATTGTCAATGGGATCGGCACAAATTTGCAACATCCATGGCAGAGAGAGATAGAGACACCAACATGCCTTAATCAGGGAAAATTGCTAAAATCGTGTTCGGGTAGAATTTCAAGAACTGCATTGGATGGATGTTGGTGCAGATATGCAGGAAATTAGGAAGAGAATGAATGTGCAGCCCTTGGAATCTTACAGAAAGTCTGGCAGTACAAAACAACTCACACAAACAATAGTCCTCCACTCAAGCTCATATGAGTGCTACAGAATACTTGACACTTTTTTACAACTCCAACTTTGGTCTTGAATCATTACACCTTACCTGTGGGTAGAATAGCGACCACATTGTGCGTGTCAATGTTTTGACCAGTGGAGAGAATATAGAGTCTACCTGCAAGTTACAGAATGCAAATCATACTGATTATTTGAAGAGAATACTTTCAAGCTAAGCACAGACTTTTAATGGTCATGAACAGAGTTGGAGTACTCGTACTCATACACCTCGAGTATGCCAGGGTACTCGGCCCATGCTCGATTATCAGTACTTAAAATTCATTGCACCTGGCCCATACTTGATTTTTTGTACTCAGATGTTAGTGTACTCGACCCTTAGGTACTCGGTGCTTGACCTTTGTACTCAAGAAAAACATTTGAGTACTTCACTTTTTGTCAATAGCATTTTTGGGCCCTTGATGATGAGCGAAATTGCATTGCTCAACCTTGAACACAACGCGATACAGCAGTTTCACTCTGTAATCTGTAACACATACAGAATGCTTACCTGCCCTGGGTACAAGGAGTGGTTCTGCTTGTCTACTTTCCACCTATGCAACTTTTATCATACAAAATTGTAGCGCTGATATGAGCCGAGCTCATGCTCCATGAGCATCGTGTCATTTCCCACAGTACACGCACTTGGACTAGCACTGACCAAGGTTTTGTTGCACTTTTTGCAGCTTTTTCACAGTTGAATTTGTTGGCAATTTCCAATATGCTATTTTTTTTTATCTTATCACACTTTATTTTTTCTCTTTTATGATTCTTAGATACAAGCTTCCATGATTTTCATCATTCTTCAATCTGAATGTCTCAGTCTTGGTAACAAATGGTTGTCTTAGGTGTCTACCCAGTTATCCATGATTTGTTTTTTGGCTATTGTTTTTGATAAAAATGCTCAGTGAAGACAAACTGACAGAGAATTCACTGATTTGTCAATATATAAACATTTTTTGCATAAATAAAAGTTGAAAGTATTAATTACTCGGTTGCATGGTGTGTTTGTTGCAAGTAATATGCATGTAGATATGTTCAACTTTTAGGTATTGTACATGTACAATGTACTCGGACTCGGACTTAGGAACTCGGACTCGGCCCAGTACTTGGCCTTGAAAGTACTCGTACTACTTTGCTTTGGACTTGGACTCATCACCAGTGTACTTGTACTCAGCCCAGGACTTGGCACCTAAAGAACTCGGAGTATTCTGGACTCGGATTTGAGGACTCAACTCCAACACTGGTCATGAACCTGCTACATACTGGGGTGCTTGTAAAGTACATGCACTATTCATGCAAAGCCACAGAATTATCAAGTCTTTCTGGTTATGAAACCAAGGATTCCTCAAAAGTGCCCAAGGCACTGTAGCTCATAAGCCTGAAGAAACCTGTAGAGAGGAGACAATGAGAAGAAATTAGTTTAAGTGGTGGGAGGAAAACCCCAGAAGGCTATTCTGGGTAAAACCCACGAAATCAGGCCGGGACTGAAAACTCAATCCACATGTGGACTGAGCTGGGAATGGAACCTAGGCCGCAGAGGTGAAAGGCGAGGAAAGAAGTACTACGCCATCCTGATTCCCCAGTAATCAGAGTGATGATTATTGGTGATGTGGTGGCTGTTTCATGAGAGGTAAAAAACAAACTGCAGAAGTTAAAGTGTCCCCTGTGGGTAAGCCAAACTGCACTACAATTAGGCAAAAGGTCCAATGTTCAGACTTAAACACAATTTACCTGTTACCTGCAATACTGCTCTTAGACATCTGGTGGTGTTGGAGATAAGAAATTCATAGCAAGCACATTTTGGAAGCTCTCTGATAACCTATGGGAAGGTGCCCTGATCCAAAAATTAAGAGGAAAACTTACCTGTTTTTACAAATTTTTCAATGAAATTGGCATTAGTTAGCTCTGCCAGAGGGAGTTGTTTGATGACCAAGTAATCCTGAAGATCTGGACTTGAAGTCTGAATAGCATGCGGTAGCAAGTCACAGCAAGGAAAACAAATCTCTACCTGTATGCAGGATGTGAACAATCACAATCATTAATGGAATAACCGTGGACATGAACCTGCTATAATTGATGGAACTTATAAAGTACATGCACCATTCATACACGTTCCACTGCATGATGGTAATACTGATTGAGTGTCTATTGCTGATGCGGTGGCCATTTTATGGCAGGTCAAAAAGACCACTGCAGAAGTGACAGTGCCAGCTGGAGAGCTGCCATGCAGATTGGCAGCAATAAATAGTCCAGAACAAGAAATGTCATGAAATTTCACCACAAAACTTCTCAAGGGATTTCCAGCCACCCCTGGATTTCTGGCCATCATGAGTCAAATGCTGGTTGAAAAGTTTGTGACAAGAGAGTTGAAAACAACATGTACCGGTACAAACCAAAGCTGAAACTTCTGTCCAAATGATTTCCATAGGCTTTCCTGTCAGGTTTGTAATTTGCCTTACTACTCTTGAAGTAAGTTTGGCAGCAGTCTGATTACTTATAGACCAATCAGTGGAGACTATTTCACTGTAGAGGCATAACACTCACAGGTGCATTCTTAAACTTGAGGCATGTATGCATTATAGGCAAGTCACAACATCCTGCAATTGGTTGAAGCTAGGCATGTAACATGTGAAGTAATGATCTCTAATTTGGGTGGTTAATTGTTCCATCAGGCTGACTGAAATCCAGATTACTGTCTGTAAAAAATGTGCTCCTCCCCCCCTGCACGAGGGGAGAAAACTTGCCGTCATCTGAAAATGTCCTGCTGTAGATTCTTAAGTGTTATGTCTTAGACAGTGTATCTAAAGCAACTTCAGCAGCCTTGCAAGGCCATTGGCTGCTCAATCATCCATCAAAACAAGGACAGCTGTTGTGTGTTACAGCTTACACAGACAACAGACTAATCACTCAAAGTATGGACCAAAGTGAACAGGTGATTTGACAGTTACATTATAAAGTTGTCAGTGTTTCAACGACAATCACTCATCTGGGTGTACGTCAATATGCTCGTGAAATTTTAGCTTAAAAAATGAAGCAGACGCAATGTGATGCTACGTGTACATGTACATTGCTAGTGGATTGGGGACTAGGGAGTGTAAGACGCTGTTCCCATAACTTCAGCGAGTACCAAAAATCCGGTTTTGACATTTTGGACTCTCCTATAAAGTATGTGTATCATAGATGACAACACCGTGTTGAGAATCTCCAGGGATGCTTTTGTGACAAAAGGGCCGAGCTTTGACTTGTGAGGGAAATTATAGGGCAAAATTAATGCGGGTTGCTATATGCAGCTCCACAAATACACATGAAAAAAAAAAGACGACGACAGTGCCCAAGCCACTGGAGACTGACTTTGAAAAGTTCCAAACCAATCTCTAACTTACCCAGAACCTAATTCATCCCTTCTTTAAATACAAAAGGGGTTGTTCATGGTCAAATTTCACGTTTTTCACTAGGACACAAGTACCACTGACTATAAAGTAAAATATCACTTAGGAGAAAAAAAAATGATTAGTGTCCTAGTCATGCCAGTTACTGGATGTAGCAGGCAGTATGCTCTCGCATCACATGGTCATAACAAGATAGCAGAAGGGTAAATGCTTCACTACCTGTTACTGTCTATAGATTTTTTACACATGCTTTAATCATAGTAAGCCTATGTTTTAAAGTGAAAATTCTCCTTAAGCATGTTATTGTTAGGTGATGATACTAGTAGCAGTACTAGTAGGCCCCTAGTACTCATACAACATTTCTAAATGTCTGGACGACAAAGAAGCCATAAATTTTTTTGTGGAAGTGAACCAGTCAGATATCAATTTACAAGTTTCTTCAGAACATTTCTTAGCCTACCTACCTCGGCTCTACTATTACTAGTAATACTAGTGAAAAGTAACATTAGCACTTAGGCCTTGTACTGCTAAGCCTATAGTATTGCTACTAGTGGTAACGTTGCGCGTTAGGCATGGCCATGGGGGGATGATCATTACAGATGAATGGGGTTGTTAAGCCCCAACTATAGCATCAGTCCCAACTAGAGTTGAGCCTGTCCCAACTATAGTTGGGCCCATCCCAACTAGAGTGCTACAGTTGGGCTGGCCCAACTACAGCAGAGAGGTCCTGTGTGCATGATGTGCCCAGCATGTGCCAAAGTCATATTGTTTACAAATGTCATGTCATTGGTCATGGGGCTAGATGAACAGATGAAGTGCCACTTTTATATGAATTGTGTTAAGTGTGAGGCACATTGACTTGGATAATGTTGAGACATTTTCCACAGACATTGGTCAACAACAGTTGGGCTAGCCCAACTTAACTGCAGCACTACAGTTGGGACTGTCCCAACTATAGTTGGGACTTATGCTATAGTTGGGGCGTAACAGGGTCACTTTTAATAGTAGGCTAATAGGCCTATCACAATTAGGCATAGAGAATAAATGGGCTACTTACTGCATGATTAAAATAGTGGTCTTTGACACAAGAGACATGTCTTGAATGTTTATGGGTGAAAGCCGAACTTTCAAAGACAGTCTTACGATTGGGGCACACAAACTCAGCCATCGGGTACTACATCATATTGGCCTATCTAGAAATCTGCAGCTAATGGCACGGTGCGGCAGAACGAGGAAAACATATCCATGAACATGTGCTTATTAGGCTGGTGCCGGCGTCAACAGAACTTCTCCAAATCATAAATTTTTCTCAATTCATTCAGACCATGAGATGTTGGGCGCTAGACTCTTATCTCTCGTCGGGCGCACGGAAGTGCGCCCTCTTTCGTCTCTTATTGATAAACAGCAACATTGCTGGAAATTCAGTGCTCTGGATCGAATATGTGATTCACTTTTGCACTCCGCCACATTTTGCGCGCCGCCATATACCCTCGACCTCTGTGACGTAAGCTCTGCATCCTGCGGAAAGCGTCGTCTGATGTACAGCGTCAGGAACTGGAAGCAGTGCGTCCTTTTCGAACTTGGAACGCTGCATCCAGGGGGAATGAACGTGGATTTTTCCGCGTTCATTCAGAACTGAATCTGCTTGCCCTGAAGAAGGTACTCAGTTACCGAAAGCTCGGCAATCACATTTTCCAGAACACTGATTTTATATTATATTCTTGTCAGTATTCTGATCACGGTGCTACACAGCCCTTCCATATTGCTGGAGACATTGTTCGTTTGTCACCCAGCGCCCGAACAGGGGATGCTGGGCGACGAGAGAAAAGATACTGCAGGTTTCGGGCATTCTGTCCAAATTCGCAAGAAATGAGGGAAGATGGTTGCTTAAGAAGATTTCTAGTAGAGGTTCCCCTGGACAGTGCAAAAAGTAGAATTAAAACTAAAACATTGACTGGAAAAATAATATAAAATTCTCCACGGCTGCCTCCTGCAACCCCTGGGCCTAACCTTGGGGTGAAATTTCTGAGTGGCACCTTGAGTGAAAGCAGATTAGGTGTGGCTTGTGTATAGATACATTTCAAAATTAAAATAGGGGCACGGAGTTCCTCTCTTGTTCTCGATAAGAAAGCAGACAGACTGATACTTTTATTTGCTTCCACACAGCAACGATACCGTGAGCAGCAAAGCTTCCCCCGAAAAGTGATTTTTCCGATGTCTGTGGGCAGCCATTTTTCAAGTAGCAACCCTTTACTTTTTGGGGCGCTTACGACCATTTTTTATCTATTCTGCTCTCAGATGGAAACCAATGATTTGCACAACTTCACAATTCTGGGGGCCAAACAACCCTTTTTTCATGCTCATGGGCTAGTAAATAGTGGACTGCACCCATCAAGTATGAATGCTGTACGCCGCCTCTTGTCCATTTATCCACGTGTTGACTAACAGCGGCCCCGGCATGGCAACTCACTGCTCTGTCGTCGCTTGAGTACTTCGAGGTTGGGGCTTAGGGGTGCACCCCCCTAAGTATAGGCTTAAAAAGCCATTCGCCAAACTCATTAATAGAAGTTATACCCTCTCAACATTCTTTTTTTTTATTTTAGAGGGTTGTTTGAGCCATGAAATTGGGGAATTGAAGAGATATTGCACTGAACCTCTAGCCTCCGGGAATTACGTCTTCTAATTCTGGGCGATTTGGATGCATTCGAGTCCGAAAGTGGCACTGTTTTATAGCCATTTTGCAGAGGCATGCTTTTCAATAGCTACTTTTTCCGAGCAGGAAAATTTCCTTCATTTTATGGGCGGTCTGTTTTGGGTGAGAATTTGTCAAAATTCATTGGTCAACCCACCAAAAATTGAAAGGAAAATGCCATGAAAGAGGACATCTCGAACATCATTTTTCTGTGCAGCCTGAACACCTGTCAGAGTTGTATTTTGTAAAAGAATTTGGGGATTTATCACTGTTGTCTATGAAAATACGGGGTGCATCCCTAGGGAACCGAGCAATGGCTTATGTATAGCGGGAACCAGGTTAGAGTTTGAGATACGCATGCCTAACACAGCCAAAAACCAGTTTGGACCTTCGGGTTTCATCGAGTCGGGCCGAACAGGGTCAACAAGATCAGATGCTTTCTAAATATTCGGACGCTTTCTCAATTCCGATGCTTTCTAAATTTGTGTGAAATGCAATTTCGGATGAAATGCATGTAGGGAAATTTCATTCGCATTTCAAAAACCTGTCGGGTTGGTAAGAATTTATTCGAATCTCGAAAACATGCTGGGTCTGTAAAATTTCATTCGAATTTCTGAAACATGTTAAAGACCGGTTCATACCATGAGCGATTGCGAAGGCGAAGCCAATTTGACCTCACAAAAATTTGCAGCGAAATTTCGCTAGAATTGAAATGTGTTCAGCTTTTACGAAATCGCAGCTCGAACAATAATTGATCTGACGCAACAATTTGCGTTCGAACTCGTTTTCGCGCCAAGTCATGAACCGAAAAATTTATTCGAAAATATGTTGGGTCTGTAAATGTTTAGTCAGTGTGGGAAATGCATTAAATATTGTAAAATATGCCCTATTGCATTAGATCTAAAAACGGGTTCGAATTTTTAAGTTTACACTAACCCTGCTTCGTATACCAGAAGTTCATTTTCTGTCAATTTTATAGGTGTTTGCTATGCGGGGTTTTTTATTCGCTCTTCCCGGAAAACACCCATAAAATAGAAATGAAATCATGCGCTCAGCTCTGATAGCCGCGGGGCTCTATGCAAATTTTCACAGGTTGTAGTTTTTTTTTAATTTTGTGAACCAAATATCCTGAGTTGGAAGCCACAAGTCCCAAGTTTGTGATTTATGGAAGTAGTCTTTGACTGGTCCCGATTATTCCACCTCTTACTGACCTGTGGCATCACAAAATTAATATTAATGAGCTCGCGCGTGGAAATCTTGTCATTCAGTGGAATGGACCCCGTTGGTGTTGTGAAATACCACCACTGTCCCGATGTCTTTGATCCTGTCCATATAGGCCACAGTCGGATTCTGTACGTCTAGAAAATTCTCAACAGCCACCATGGACCCGTCTGCCTTTCATTTCGTCAGAAAGATTTCTTCAGCTATGCCGCGTCCGAGACAGCTTCGATGTCTTCAAGCGTTCATATTAGTCACGCTCATGCAGTATCAACAAGGATCCAGCGGGAAATGTGACACACATGACCGCGTAGATCAGCCGCCGATCCAGAGAGTGGGGGTGGGGGAGGCACACGCCTCCCCCCTTTACCAAAAGAAGAAAAAGAAAGGAAAAAAAGGGAAAAAAGAGGTCACACTGCCTGCAACTGCACCACAAAGCGCCTGGAATCCAAAATAAGGTATTATATTGGCGCTACGCGCTCGCGGGCATTTTACCATTCCTGCTTTATTTCACCCCCCCCCCACTTGCTGAACATGCTCGGAAATAGTGTGCGACTGTTTTGAAACGTTCGTGCAAATGTATTCCGAAGATCACACGAAATTCATGGCGATTTTGGTCACCTTCTGGTCAATTCTGTGTTGCCAAATTGGCGAAGGTCGCAAGACATTCGTCCGACCTTCCCACAACGTTCGCGCGACGGTTGGGAGAGGGAGGTGCGCCTTCGGCGAACTCATGCACGTGATGGAAATGCGACAATGGAAACATTTGCCCAAGCAATCATCGTGTCACATTTCGTTGCCACCTACCAGCTAGTATAGGCCTAGCCCCCGGCAAAACTGAGGTCAGCATCAGAAGATGGCGGCGCAGGACCACCGGATGGATCTTCAAGACCAGCCCCGACTCCAGGCCTGATGGGTTTCCCTGACCACCCTAGGACCTCCCAGGGCCAGCCCAGGGTTCAAGCCATGATTTTCTTTTTCAGTTGGCAAAAGTTGGCGACGTCCTTGAGACAGTTTGGCGCTCGTCGCTCGAAATTTGTGAAGACTTTGAGACTATTTTGAGACGATCTAGCGGGAAAGCCGGAATGGCGACAATCGCCGGAAATTTTAAACGTTCAAAATTCCCGCGCACCTCTTTTCGGACTTCGAGAACATCTGACGAACCCAACGAACGTTTTGAGACGTCTTGGCAACTGTTTGTTTTTAACTAACAAGGAGTTTACCGCTATAACCATAGTTAAACGAAGTATGCGTTTCAACAATAATTTCGTCAGTTACTTTTTAAGTGCAAAATGATGGACTGTACCTTTCTCGTGAATTTTCGGCTTATGGAAGGCACCATAGCCTAAAGTTAAATGTACCTGACATACACTACATAAACACAAAAAAACCACTCATGTGGAAAACGGGCAATGTAGTTACGAATAACCAATACATGTACACGTATTTATTTACTACGACACCAATTTAATACATGTATTGTACAGATATTAGGCTGGAAGTCCCAGGTGTCTGATCCCTCCCCTTTAAAATTTACAATGCATGTAGTTGTTCATTCAGTCTTCCTGACTTTTCTTCTATTAAACTGGAAGTATTTATTTTAACCAACTAATAATTGCAAGCGATCAACATAGGCAATGTTTATAATCAGACTTCTTTTACTTTGATAATGATATCATCAGGGAATGAATATGTGCTTGACCGATCTTAAACGTGTGTTTAAGACCGGCCAGGCACATAATTATTCCCATTCATAAATAGCTTTTTACTCAGAGAGTCATAAGAGCTCAATACATGAAGGATTTCCAACGATTTTATTGTAGCATTTTACTTTCATTTTCCTTAAACTGTCTCGTGTCCAGGCACGGCGCCAGCGCGTGATTTACGTAGCGGCCATTATCACTTCTCAGCAGGTATTATCAAATTTAATACACGGTCAAGTTGCTCGTTGCTGAATAGGGAGACTGTCTGAGGTATTTATGAATGATGGTTAAGGGTTCGTCAATTGGATAAAATTGATTTCTGTTGCTAATAATGTAATGGTGAAGGAACACTACAGAGGATTATCAGTCGCAATTTTTGACGGTCTGCATTTAATGTACCCAGATGTATGTGGAAACGTGTACACGTATCAAGTCTCTCAGCATTCTGGCGTAAATGAAATTGCCAATAGAAATACACAGATTCGAAAATGCATGAGCCTCCACGGACATGGTACACGTCCCGAAATGCCTTTGCCAGTCATGTTAAGTCACATGAAAAATCTCTATAAATCATGTTCACATCATTCATCAAACCTTAACCCGTAGTTATAAATGTATCTGGCTGTCAGTGCATCTTTTGGACTTGCTGGATTTCTGAGAGATAATCTGGTCAGGTAAATCAGCCCGGGTAAATCAACCTACAACGTGCATGGAACAGTACATAACCTACACATGTAGGTTGCTTCACAGAGATTTCATTCACTTAGTGCTGTTACCTAACCTGGAAGTCACCTGTCATCCATTTTCAAACACAGCCTTCAAGTGGATGAAATACACTGAATGATATCAAATGAGCTTGTGTTTGTGCCAACACTGGGCATAGTTTCCAAGTACATCTAAGCACACTCCTACGCAAACATCTAAGCAAATTGAAAGATGGCAAGGCCACACATGGATTTTTTTAATAGAGATTTCAGACTTCCACAATGCAGAAGTTGTGTGCACAATATTTTTGACATGTTACAAGATTGCTGGTCTACCTGATCAAATAAAAGACAAAAAAATTCATAAGTGCATTTTCAACATCTAATGTACCATATTTCATAAAAGCAAACTTCAGTGGATCAGAAGAAACACTATAACGGGGATCAACCAAAACTATGAGAGAAAAGGAACTACATCTTATAGTAATTAATTTTGGAAACGCGTTTGAATGAAACAGCCAAAGAAATTAGCACATAAAGAACACACAAAAGCTCTGCATAAGATGCAAATATCTGTGAACAGAGCATATACCATACATGTACATGCAGAGAATACAGGACCAAAAGTGCTTGATGACTTAATGTAGTGTCACAATATGTGCTGGGAGCATGAAAACTATTGGTAACTATTGATACAGAAGCCACAGACTGAGGTATATCCATACTGAAACATCTGCATGTACATGTACAATTTATTAAATCTCGACACTGTTTCGGTACACAAACTTCCATTGAGGAATGCTCTTTATGAAGTGCTAGGTGAACATTACATATATTTTTTGTACTTATCATAGAAAAAGACACATCACTTGTTAAATATAGTAATACTCTCCTTGAAGCATGGATGCCTACTATCTCTCAGAGAATGATGCCTCCTCCAGAATACTCCATTCTCTGTAAAATAAACAAATGATTTGAGACTTTAAATAAGTATGAGTACATTTATTGACATCGGAATCTCAGAAGCAAGTCTTTCATACCACCAAATGGGCATATTTATAAAACAAACACAGCCTTCATGGGTGAATTTGTTCCCTGTGATAAGTAACAAAATCCGACATAAGATGAAAAAGGAAAAACCAGTCTGAAATGTCGCAGGCAACCACAACAATTCAGGCAAGATGTGTAGAATAACTACCGAGGAGCCAGAATGTTTAAGGGTGTCAGGCAAAACACAGAAGGAACCACTGCTAAACTGGTCATTCTTAATAGCTGTTCATCTCACCTCTTGTGGTTCAAGGAATGACAGCCAATCTGATGAATGCGTTGGTAGTAAACCCATTGAGGAACACTTGTACAATGCTAATGCAATGCCAAGTAGGTTGGAGACAAAGTAAACCATCTTTTGAATCAGAGCCTGTGGGCTGGGATCTAGCATCTTGAAAGCTGCAATGAAATTGAAAGCACACAATTAGATTTATAGTTTGTTTCTGCACACCTCTCTGCTGTATTCCTCAAATACACTGGTGGAATGAATCCACTAATACATTTATGTAGATCTCTAATGAAAATGCATTTTATGGCACATCCACAGCAAGCACGTACATGTTCTAGTGCATGTTAAACATGTAATTCCAAGAACTACCATAAACATTCCTAAGGTGCCATAAGATCCAAGCCTTTACTACAATTAACTTCATTCAGTCATTCCTCTACTTCCAATTCTTTCTGACAATGCTTGTGTGCTAGATTGTGCTGGATGTAAGAACTGCACAGAGCGTAGATTTGTATTCAGTTCAGAACAGTTTCTACCTAAAGCACATGCCACCAAAAATAAACGCTTAGTATTTTAACTCTGACGATGGTTAAGGAAACAACAATTTATTACACCTAACTGGGTTATTGATACAGCAGTAAGCCGTGTCAAAAGATTCAACCACATGTAAATGAGCAGTCATAATTCAACACCCACAATACTTGTATGTACCGGTAGCCCTACACTGAAGTAACTAGTGCCACACGAAGGTAGGTGCCTTGGTCACAGATACCACAAAGGTAGGTGCCTTGCTCACAGGTACCACAAAGGTAGGTGCCTTGCTCACAGGTACCACAAAGGTAGGTGCCTTGCTCACAGGTACCACAAAGGTAGGTGCCTTGCTCACAGGTACCACAAAGGTAGGTGCCTTGCTCACAGATACCAGCACCATTGTCATTAATGTGAATGTCTAAGCAATACTAAGCAATCGCCTTTCCAATACTCAGGGATGAGATTGACCAATGATAAAAATAGCTGAAAACAGCTGAAAAAACGGCATCAAGAAGCTGAACTGTGAAAATCTCCTATACTTCTGTACACAGCCAGTGAGGAAAAAAAGCTGAAATCCAAAACAAAAAAAGCTGAAATCAGCTGCAAAGCTGAGAAATCTCACCCCTGAACACTACAATTCTATCCACTTACTTGTTTTAATTCCAATGAGGGCCTGTACGGGTCTCCAGACCATCATTCCCACCATCATTATAGGGAATATGGAGATGGAGTTACCAGACATATACATGATGAACAGGTTCATGGGCAGCTGCTTCAAGGGACCAAGAGCAACATCCCAATATTTCTGCAGGGAAGAAATGACAGAGAGGCATATCAAGCGTCATTACTACCAAGCCCACAGGGCTTTGCCAAAATGTTTATTTTATCCAAGTCAATAAAAACATTTACATTAATTGATATTTCGTATTGTCAGTGTTCGTTTTAAGTGAATATTTCTTCATGGAAATCTGTATGTTTTTTCTCTCCAGAATTCGACCTTTAATCGAGTTCCTACAAATGAGAGTCGGCTGTACCTTTACATACAGTCGTGAGTGTTCCTGACATTTGCCATTGCACATAATGTACAGTAATTACTTGACATGAAAATCAAAATAAAACACACAAATCTAGTTTGCAGGATATACAAGTATTGTACATGTACATGTGCACTGAAGATCTTGGATGACATTTTGACCTATTTGAACTACAGATAAAGAGGCAATGACAAGTCAGGAACATGTGTGTGCACTTTCAAGCTTCATGGCTCAAATCAAAGTTGAAAAATCCACATGATAATCTAGAGTATGCATCGTTGTAACATGAAAAACAGCTATTTTGTTCTACCTTGACAGCTAAGTTAGATTCTGTGTCATGCACTGTAACATCAGCCAGTGCCCTCTCTGAGTAACCGACTGGAGCAGGTAAATCTGGAATGGCCTGACACTGCCTGTCCATTTTGATTCTGGAAAACAAGAATGCAATGTTAGAGCCCATTCCCAGCTCCTTGGGAATAATAACCGACTACAAGCCTTCTGGACAGGGTTCACCTATACACGACAGGTCCTGTAATGCAATTCTCATCAAATGCATGGGTGAGATGCACGTACAATGTACATGCAACCTGAAATTCAGACTTCCTGAGGAATTTCAACACTTACATGTATACTTAAAAATAATGATCACTGTACAATAAAGTTTCAAGGCACAGGAAATTCTTCAAAATTCATTTAAACAAAATAGGACCCTTTTGGAAGGCTGTATTTGGGGAAAATGTAAATCCCCATCCCCACATCACCCCATCCTCACTTTGCCCCATCCCCACATCACCCCATCCTCACTTTGCCCCATCCCCACAT